CTTTTGAAGTCAGTGTGCTGCTAAAAATAGAGATTACTTTATGTAACCGTACCCATTTTAGGCACAATGATGACAGCACATGTGGATCTGGTGTACCTCTCTGTCTGTCTCTCCCTTGCTCTTCTTTTCCTCCTTCCATCTTTCTTTATCTCACGTTGCATAATTTAAGTGAAGATCTAGCTGCAACATGCCTTTTGAATTATAGGCACAACATCATAACTTGTACTCATCAAATTGTTGGAAAGAGTCAGAGTGCAGGAGGAGAACTGATCTGTCTATGTTCTGTTCACCTGATCTCGCACAGGTCCTCTCCCACTGCACGCACACCTGTTATTTAAATCAAGAGCGGTTAATTGCAGCTGATTAATGAATGTAGAAATGATCTGATTGTGCACCAAGTGTGTAATTTCACAGCAAACGAAATGTTACATTTCAATGTGCTTTAAAGTTGAATTAAGTTGTCCGCTGCACGCAAACATGACATGACCAGTGAAATCCAATTTTAGAGGGTTAAAAACACAGCATGATGAGTGTAGCTAATTCTAATGTGTGATTCTTTCAATGAATAGTTATAAAAAGGACAAGGTACCAATTTGAATCAGTCTGAAACACTTCCCTTTATCATTAAAGCATCAGCAGTGGTAGAATTTCTTTCATTTGTAAGCAAAATGGACATTATAACTGACATATACCCAAATGAATCATAATCAAATTATAGTTAGAATCAAATTGGTTATGAAACGGAATGGAATTTATTGGACATCAAATTCAGTACATATGGATGCTGCACTTGAATTCTCCAGATAAAAGTTAGAAAAAGGAAACACTTTCTCTCTCTCTCTCTATGTCTCAGTTGACAGACACAATTGGGTTATTATGAGGATGTTTGAAGGGTCAGTCATAACACTCAGTCATATAATGTTAGTATGATTTTTACATAAAAAATGGTCATAATTTAGAAATAAAAGGGCATGTTCGTCCCTGATTTTATGCCTCTGCTTTGATCGCTCTGTTGAAAGGGGCGTGTCTGCTGTGAGACGTCAATGTGAACGCCCACTTCTGTGATTGGCTAACATCTTCCACATGTGGAACTCTCGAAAACTTTTACTACGTTTTTACTATTACAGCTGTCGAGATTAACTAATCATGAAAAGTGTTGCTTATAGCATTATTTTTGCATGAAAGCTCGCAACTATGGGCATTGAGCAGATGAATGCAGTGACTTGATTTCTATACTCTCACGAATGCTTTCATCATAACTAACAGTGCAAACACGATGTAAATAAGAGATTCATTATGCAGTGTACATTATAACGGGAGTTTTGGCCAAAGTCCAGAACTCAGTCACTGATAAACTTGCTTTGTGTGATTGACAGCTTCCGTGATTATAAAGGGAGGGTTCTTTTATCACTTTCTGTATATAATTTAATCACAATTTAAATAATTATTACAATAAACTATTTTGAGACAAAGAACGTCTGGCTGGTCATGAATCATTACATATCAGCAATCAATCACTGATCACAGATTAGGCATTAGAATTAACACGGTTACATGTTACATGTAATTTACATGTTTTGGCGTTACAGTCCGGTTCATATCTTGCAGTAAAAGTCTGTTTGCAAAGCCTGCACCGAAACTGTGTCTGATTCACCAAAGAATCAACAGTGAAATGTACCAAACAAACAAATCATGCTCTACTAAGTAATTCAGATATCAGATAGTTTAAAATAAATAACCACTTTCTTTGCTTTAGGATCCTTTGGATGATAATGTTATTTCTAGTCCGGTTATCTTGTATCTCTCTTCTCTCCATCTCTTCTCACTAACGCGCCAGTGGGCAGGGCCAAAGATATGATGACGTAGAACCAGGGCCGTTTGAAGGAATTTGGGGGCCCCAAGCAAAATGGACATGGAGGCCTCCCAAGCCCCCCCGACCCCCCCCAACCCCCACCCCACACCCCACACACAAACACTTTATATGAATAAAAAAGGTTTACAGTGCAAATACTGCTGTTGCATACTGTGCATAAAAAAATAAAAAATTACAGTGACATAAGCTATGAAAAAATCATGTTCCTCTGCCTTTTTCAGGTTAAATAATGTTTATAGATGGGTAAGGTTACAAATTATTTATTAAGTAAAAAGATTGTTTGCTAACAGTTAAATGACAATTAACTAAATATTAAATAAATAACAATTTACCATCTATTAATGATTGTTATTATAAAGTGTTACAGAAAACTTAAAGTCCCCGTGAACCGGAAGTTGCAAACGACTTTTCTCCAGTGTTGTGACGTATTTCCGAGAGAAACGGAATACTAAATGAGGCAAAATAGTGGGCGTGGCTTTTTTTCCAACTAGCACCTGATTGGATCTAGAAAAGTAGGTGTTTTCATTCAGCCTGTCTACTGTCAGTTGGAGGGGCGTGGTTACGGATGTTAAGCAGACACCCAAACCGTCAAACCTACGTCATCAGGGAAGGTCCTCCAAGGCAGAGGGGAGGGGACATTTCAGATTTTGATTAAAGATTACAGAAGCCAAATTTTTTTTTTGTGTGGATTGACTTGCATGGGTGAATTGTTCACCACAAAACGATCAATTTAGGCAAACAAAGTAAGTATGGTCAATTTTGAATTCATGGGGACTTTAAAGATATGTTAGCATTTCCATATTTTGATATTAGAAGGGAAGGGATGCTGCTTTCACTACCAATGCTTAAAAACATCCCAAGCTAATGTTTGATGCACGGAATTTATTGTGTGGTTTTCCTAACCCCCATTGGTAAATAGATTATCACGGTGGAATAGTTATGCTATGCCACTTTCATCAAAACAGCTATAGCAATGTCATGTCATTAAATACGATAAACAGTGATTCTGGAACTCCTTAACCCGTTAAAAAACATATTACAGTATGTAACGTTAACCATATTCCGTCCGTTCGAAAAAAAAATTGCACTAACTGTTCGTTACAAGCAGCATTTGCCGTCAGGCAGGTAGCTAACATAAACATATTTTTGCTAGCCTAATGTTACCTGCTGCAAAATTACACCATTTGTACAAGACAAGTAGAGCTATTTTTATGCAGTGTAATTTATTACTTTACCACTATCTGGTATTTTTCTTAACCTTCTCTTCCTTTCTCTTCTTTCTTTTCTGGCTTCCTGAAGCATAATTCCGCTTCATGATAACTCCCGAGGAGGTTTGTATTTTGCCGGCAGCAGAGATCGCGTGGTTGGCTGGCTGCTGTCAGCGACTACTGAGGGGGGCCCCTTGAGGGGGATTCCGATAACAGTGTCATTGCACTTTACTGCATTGACTATCAAAGGGGCGCTCTCAGTTTGTCGTTGCATTTTATTCTTAAACAGTCGTTGTCTTGGGGCCCCAGTCCAGCTCGGGGCCCCAAGCAATTGCTTGGTTTGCCTGTCCTGTTCCGACGGGCCTGCGTAGAACTAGGCTTTGAGCTGATTCTGCAGAGACTGTCCTTCGTCACACTATTACGTCATAATGTGACCAAATCCAAAAGGAGTCGTCTTTGGAGCTTGGTTTCAATAAAAGTTGTTTTTGGACTAACAAGGAAGTTTCTGAGTTCTGAAACTTACAGGCTTTTATAGTACAATGACCTCTTACATGTCAAAAGATCAATGAAAATTTGATTTCTCAATTCATGACCCCTCTAAAGGCATAGTTTGCCCAAAATGAAAATTCTGTCATAATTTATGTCCACATAGGCCTACATACTTTCTTTGTCCTGTGGTACACAAAAGAAGATATTTTGTCAAATGTCTTCTTTTTTGGTCTACACAGTGAAAGTCAAGGGAAAGCAGTCTTGTTTTGGACCCCACTGACTTTCATTTTATGGACAAAGCAGTACACAATATATCTTTTGTGTTCCACAGAAAAGTCATACAGGGGTGCGTTTCTCGAAAGCATCATTAGCCAACTATGGTCACAAGTTCCGTCGTTATCAGCATAGTTCAACGAGTCTGAATTTCCCGAAACCATAGTTCCAAGTAACATTCGCAAGCAGCATCGCAAATGACAGCTCTTGACCTGTGTTAGAAGCATAGTTTCTTGTTTTCATGACATTTGGACTCAATAAAACCTTATCTTGAGCAAAATAAGCAAGCTGACATTCTGTACAATCTGTATCTTTTATTTAGAATGAATACCAATGTCATTTACTTATTTTAGTTTGTCAAAAGATTTAAAGCACTGTTTTTGAAGAGTGTGCATGTGCGTACCTGCTCTAGTACGTAAGAACGAGCCTATGATTGAATCTGGAAATAAAGCAAAATAACTACGATAACTGAGAAATAGTCCTCAGATGCCATGTCCGTAATTTATAGCAAAACATCTAGCATTAATTCGATCTCAAACAGGTTCAAGTTATTACTCCACCACGTGAGTGACATTCTTATCCAACGTGGTTGAACGAAACACTAGCTACTTGATTTCTTCAACGATGCATCGTACTATGGTAGTGAAGCAGCGAGTTACGTCATTGTACGGGAAACTCGCCCCAGGTTTGAAATGTCATGATAGTGAATAAATGTTGACAAAATTCACATTTTTGGCTGAACTGTCCCTTTAAAGTTGAAGTGTGTATTTTTTCTGTGCCACAAAAGGAATTTTGAAAATAATGATTGTTTTCCAAACACTCCCAGCACCCCTTTTGACCCTTCCACTCTTCTTGTCTTCAAACTAATAAATTCCCTGTAAATAGCTTATTATAGGTAGTGCTGCCCAAAACACACAATACTGGTTAAGCCAGACGTTAAAATAACAGACTCCTCAGACAAAGCACCACATGTCCGCAGTGTTTACACTTTATACGAATGGCTTACCTTTAGTTGTCTTTGCACATTAAAACTAGTAGAGGAGAAAAAAATGCACCCTTCACCTTTAATCTTTTTGATTGGTTTTCCTTGTAACAGCCACCCCCACGGTCGCACACTTCCCCCCCTTTTCTCACTCACGTTTCTGCTTTCTCCGCAGGGATCGGACAGGGTGTTCCAGTGGTGGCTTTGATATTGGAGGGGGGTCCTAATGTGATCTCTATCGTACTGGAGTACCTGAGAGACACTCCTCCAGTGCCTGTGGTGGTGTGTGACGGCAGCGGTCGGGCCTCTGACATCCTGGCCTTTGGGCACAAGTACTCAGAGGAAGGCGGGTATGTGAGGTTTATCTCTCTCCACTGTAACAGTACGATAAGGCATGAATATTAATTTACATATAGATGATGATTGAACTGTAGCACGGAATAGAGCGCGTCAGTAAATGCCCACTTTTTTTCGGAAGTATTTTTCCCATTAATTTTCTCCATAAGGACTTGTAAGACATGAACCAAGCCAACCAGATATGAGATGAATCACAAATCTTACACCCTTTAATTTAAGCAAAAAAAGGAATTTGGAATTGGAGATAAAGACAAGGTGCGTTTGGTTTTATTGGATTTTTTAACAATGAATAGGCTACTCATCTCATAAAGCACTGCAAATTATGTATTCTTCAAATGTCCATAACTGGTGGAAATTTTTTAAATATTCATAGAATATTTTTGCAATATTGTAGTTTTAATAATAGTATAATAATATAGAAAGTAGCAATTGACATAGCTATTGTATAAAATATATGTTGAAGTATAACTATAGAATAATATACATTTTTATAAAATTTCTGCAAATTATGTTGAACTGTTTTTGCGTGTTAAAAATAATTAACACAATTAATGTTTATTTCACTTTCTGAAGCTATGCTCATGTTTTTTTGCCAATTTCTTTGTATACATATATTAATGATTACAAATTGTAATGTTATCTCATCATAGATTAATTGTGATTCAATGTACCTAACATGATAAATTGCAAATAATCTGAGAAACCTGTATAGTTTTTTATATAATACATTTTTAGGCGATTCACAGCCCTAATTTTTCATTTACTGCAAAATATTTAAACAGGAAAAAATGCTATGTTATTGCATTATTGATTAATTGCAATTAAATGTACTTACCATGATTAATCACAATTAATCTCAGGAACCTATATGATTAATTAGATTTTGTTCTATTCACAATATTAATTTCTATCATTTACTGAAAAATATTTAAATATGGGTAGTGTAGTTCTTTACAGATAATTTGAATGTTAACAAAAAGTGAAGTTGAAATCACAGTGACGAGAGCTGTGGTGGGTCTTTTTTGAAAGGGTCATATTTTATCATTAAAAAGCGGTTTGTCTATGGAGAAAATTAATGGGATTTTTCCTTCCGGAAACCCTACTGTTGCGCTCTGTTGGAATATTTTCATTGCATAAATGAATTGCTCTGATATCACAGTCTCATCTTTCTCTCTGACTACATGTTAGAATCATAAACGAATCTCTGAGAGACCAGTTATTAGTCACCATTCAGAAGACGTTTACATACAGTCGGACACAGGCCCAGCATCTCTTCATCGTTCTGATGGAGTGCATGAAGAAGAAAGAACTGGTGAGTGTGTGCAGTGTGGCTGTAAAAGTCCTAATGATTAAACCCCCCTGATCTGACAGATTTAAAGAGATTCCTCTAGAGCCTTTTTGCTGTACTTTGTATCTTTGAGTTCTTTGTATGAGAGTGAACTCGCAATAAAGCCAGGAGTTTTTTCTGCTGCACATTCCTCTCCATGTCAGCATGCCGTTATTCTATCAGACAGTCAGAGATGCGTGTAAAGTGGCCCTTAAGCTTGGGGCTGATAAATGTCACTACCTCTGCAGCCCACATGAAGTACATTTCCTCAGGCCCTGAGACCATCTCTCTTCATATTAGCTTCTCACACACATACACTCTCTCTTTATCTCTCTGATGCACAGAAAGTAAAACTATTAAGTACTACCGATACTATCACCTAAAACTTGACATATATTTGAATCCACTGCTCCTCTGTTAAATTATTCACCAGATTGACGACTCCATAATCTGTATGACTTTTCAATTAGAGTGCACTTTCCAGTGAGCTCATTTAAAAGCTCTCAGACACTTCACATTTATCCTTCCCCTGTTAGCCATTACTTCCAGAACATCCTGAAATGCCTCAATAAAGAGTTTTAACAATCAACTTCAGTGTCGCCAGGAGAAACATATCCTACTTTTATCTCAACATGCTTCCATATTTTTTATCTATCAAGTAAATCAAGACCATGATTTGCATGCAAAACGTTTCTAGTTGTCTTTGAATGTAAATGTAGTTCAACTTAAATTTCTATGTTGTGTTTGTATATTCAGATTATGTTTTCAGTCATTAAATCATACATCCTCAAAGTGATTTTTGTGTTTGTTCTTTTATTAATAATGATTTGAATCTTCTTTTAGTCATTGTAGTGGTTTCACTCATTGTCTGTGCACGTGTTTATGTATTTGTGATTTTGTATACGTGCACACCATGTTATTTTGTTATTAATTATTTGTATAACTGTGTTTTCAGTGTTGTTAGTGCATGCATTTCCACTGTGAAGTATGATCTGTTGCTGTAGATGTGTTAATCCTCATTATGAAGATGACCTTCCTTCTCAAGCATAGATATGAATCTTCGTACCCACACACCATATGACTTTTACGTAAGCTGTATTGGCTTAAATGCAATTGTGTTCAGATGCAAACTGTTTTGTTGAAGGTGAGAGCTAGTTTGGAGTATAGCACATTGGCTTTAGTTTACATGCCACCCACTTGAATATTGTTTATTGATGACTCAAAAGTGTGATCACAAAGCCTTTGAGACGCAACTAAGGGAAGCAAATTAAAAATGTTACTTAAAAGTAGAATTGGCATTAAACCAGTGTACAAGAACAAAATGCCACTGCTAATATACCAAATAAACACACATACATCATAATCTGTTACTTGCTCCCACAAACATGTACGCTTCCCCATCGAATGTGCTAGCAGATGAGTGCACCATGTGTGTTTGGGACCTAGAGAACTTTAGTCCAATGCACTCATCTCACATTCATCATACATGCACACAGTTCAGCTCAGTGCTTGATCTCCTCTTTTAATCCCTTATTGCTGTACTTTCCACTAAGGACAAGCCAATGGGAAAATTTCCATGCTTGATGACTGGAAAAACTGCTTACAATTTACAATTGTGATTAGGAAGCTAGAGTGAATGAGTATTGGAGGTGCCTTTGGCAGTCTTTGAAGATGGAGTAATTATCGTATCTTAGCAGTTTAATTTGAAGATGAAACAGAATCAGAGTACCCGAGTATTGCAGCTTTGTTCATAATAGCTTACTGTTATACAATGTTTACTATTGCTGCAATATGTCATACTGTATTTATGGAAGCCCATTCCCGCTACATATGAAAAAATCATGTAAATTGTAGTTATGACATACTAAGTTCCCTTTCAATGGCATTGGGACTGCCTCATATAACAACACTGTTGGGAACGCCGTCAGCGTCTGAAGCATGTGTGAAACTAGTCCAATCCTGATTGGCATTGCGTTGTGACAGGGCACTACGGAAGCTACAAAGGTAAGCCGGCACACAACAGCATCAGCTTCTGTTCTTCAGCAATGGCTCTGTGTGTGAAACTGTCATTTAATGTTGTACCCATTTGTCTATTTGGCATTGTTTGTTTAAAAAAAATAAAAGAAATATGGCAAGTGAAAGACAGTACAAATAGTGTGTGCCTCCCTGTCATCACGAGTGGGGACATACAAATTTTGTGGGAGCGGAGAATGCACAGGCAGCTCTACAGGGGGGTGCCTATACTCACTGTGAGCAGCTACCGCTCAGGACGCTCCGCTCCCATCTGCCTTTGTTTGACAAGGTAGGCCAGGCTCGCATTCCTCACGGTTCGGGACCCAAGGCTGCACGGCGTCTTAAGTCGTAGAGTTAAGTAGTAGAGCTTGCAGAGGAGGTGGAGACTGCTTTGGCCCTTTCTCTGCAGGTTCTAGCTCTCTCATTCGGCCTTCTTCCACCCGATTGAGAGCTCGAGCTCTAGTTCTGAGAAATTGGAAGCTCTCAGCATCGAGTAGGGGGAGATCGAGGACTCGCCACCCTCCTCCCCCGCTTACGAGGAGCTGGTCGCGGATGTGACTCATGCTGTGGCCAAACTTAACATCGTGTAGCTACCAGAAAAGCAGGAACCAAAACGGATAAGTAAACAAGATGAACTCTTTCTGTCTAGCCGAGCACAACCTCAACGTTAGGGTTTGCAATTCTTTCACGATCTCCACGTTGAGTCATTGAGATTGTGGAAGAAGCCGTACACTTCCCATTTATTGAGCCCAGCAACAAACATGTACTTCAATCACGAGCTCGAAAGAGAACAGCTATGAGATGATGCCGCGGGTGGAAGAGACTTTGGCATCTTATCTCCCCCTCACACTGCGACATCCCTGAAAGCCCAGACACTGCCCACCAAACCATGCAGAACAACTTCCGGTTTGGTGGACAAAGTCATATATGCCGGCTAGTTGTGCTGGTACATCCTTGCATACCATGGCATGCAGGCGTACCAAGCAGACTTAAGATGAGGACTTTGATGAGGGCGAGGGGGTCGGCCCCGACAACATTTAAGAGCTGCATCGGGCCACGGACCTGCCTCTCCGTGCCATTAAGGGTAAGGCCCAAGCCATCGGTTGCTCCATGGCATGAGGACCTCCATGAGGATTGTTATTCTTTCGAAGGTGGCTTTGGGGAAGAAGTCCTGATGCTCCTCCACGGAGCCTCGTGCGTTTCAGGGCACACCAGTTCTCAGTGAACGCAAACCTCAGTGCCCGCCTGAAATCGTCGCGGCCCTAAGGAGTTTGCCTGTAGAAAATCGTGTTGGGCTGGAATTATATAGAAGCATGCAAGCTTCTATCAAATATATCTCAGTGAGTCCTGTGTACGGTAGGAAAAGGGGTACAGAATCCAGGAGATTCAGGCTTAATATGCTAACGGTTTCTTTGACCGTGAGTCAAATCAAGTCTGAGGACTAGTTTGTCACAATAGATCTAAAGGACCCTACTTCTATATATCCAGTTCCTGAGGTTTGATTTCGTGGGCGAAGCGTTCCAGTATCAGTTTCTTCCATTTGGCCCATCTCTATTCCCTCGCACCTTCACAAAATGTGTGGATCCAGCACTGGCTCCTCTGAGACTCCACTGAGACAGGTCATTCATGTTCTCAATTATATAGACAACTGGTTGATCTTAGCCCAGTCAGGAGAGATGGCGGTTCGACATCTGGGGCTCAGGCTCAATTCCAAAATGAGCATGCCCCCCCCCCCCCCCCCCCAGCTTGGCAAACTGTTGTTACCCAAAGCTATGTATATTCCTGGAGAGCAGAATGTAGGGGTAGATATTCTGTAGAGGCAGGGGCTGAAAGCTGAAGTGGATCTATTTGCGTCTCGAGAGACAACTCACTGTCCACTGTGGTTCTCCCTCATGCATCCCTTGCTTTCCCCCCAATTGCTCCCCCATGCTTTCAACCTCGATTGCACTGCTCCCGGGAGTTCCAGAGAGGGTTCGCCAGGATGGGATCAGTCTACTCTTGGTAGCTCCATTCTGACCAGACAGAGTCTGGTTCTTGGACCTCATAGCACTCCTAGCAGGCCCTCCATGGGAGATTCCAGTCAGAAGGGACCTTCTGTCACAAGCACAGGGTTTGATATTTAACCCTTGACCCAGGCTCTGAGGGTTTAGTCTGAGGTTGTTGAGACCATCCTAAGCTCTAGAGCTCCCCTCCACGAGGAAACTGTACGTCTTACAGTGAAGAGTATTCACTTTATGGTGCTGAGAGCATCAGTTGGATCCAGTTAACTGCCCAGTGGCTTTAGTGCTGGATTTCCTTCAAGATCATTTCTCTGGGGGTCTTTCCCCATCCACGCTTAAGGTTAACGTGGTGGCCATAGCTGCCGTCCATGACCCTTTAAGCGGTGGACCATTGGGGAGACACCACTTGGTTGTTCGTTTCCTTGTGCTCTGAGGATGAGGGCTGCGGCTCATGCCAGGGTTCCAACTTGGCTCGAACACACTGAGTCTGTGTCAAAGAAGTTCCTTACACTAATGGTGGCTTTCTTACTGCCAATAACATCCCTTAGAGAGTGGGGGACTTACAAGCCCTGTCCATCTCTCCTTCCTGTTTTAAGTTTGCTCCTGAGAGAGCTAAAGCCATTCTCTACCCTAGACCGGGTTATGTGCCCAAAGAGCTGACTAATTTGGCATGGTCTATTGTTCTCCAGGCCTTCCATCCTCCACATGTGTTGGCGGATTAAGAGATGACTCCTTGTGTGCCTGGTTACGGCTCTGGAGGTCTATGTGCATAGGTCCTCCCCATGGAGAAAGTCTGACCAGCTATTAGTGTGTCTTCGGTCTCCCAAGAAGGGGTCCCCAAGTGTCAAACCACACCATCAGCAAATGGATTGTCAAAGCAATCTCTACAGCGTATGAGGCACACAGCATGCCTTCGCCTTTGCTGATCAGGTCACACTCTACGAGGAGTGTCGCATCCTCAAAGGCTCTATT